ACTAGGCTAATCTCCTCTGCGGCGCCGGCACACCAGGTTCTGGTCCCGGTAGGGGTGCCGGATTCTGTCCCGGTTGCCCCTCTTCCAGTCCAGCTCTCTGCTGTGGCCCGGGAGTACAGTGAAGGATGGCCCAGGTCCTTGGGCTCTGCACCCGCATGGGAGACTAGGAGAAGCACCTGGCTCCTGGCTTTGGATCAGCGCGGTGCACTGGCCACAGCAGCCATTGAGGGGTGAACCAATGGTAAAACGAAGACCTTTCTTTCTCTGTCTCTCTCTCTCTCTCACTGTCCACTCTGCTTGTCCAAAAAAAAAAAAACAAAAACAAAAACAAAAAAAAAAAACAAAAAAACAGCTGTCTTACAAGGTTTCTTGGGAAGATTAAATTAGATAACAAAATTAGAAGGAATGCCCATTAAGTATATGCAATTTTAGGATAATGAGACTATGGGTATTTTAAATCAGTAGATTAAAAATATTCATTTATTTTCATTTTATTTGAAAGGCAGAGAGAGATCTCCTGTCTTCTGTTTCATTCCTGAAATGCGTACTGCGTCCATGGCTGTGCCAGGATGAAACCAGCAACCTGAAATTCAGTCCTGATCCCCCATGTGAATATTGGGGACCCACGTACTTGAGCTGTCACCTGCTGCCTCTCAGGGTGTTTATTAACAGGAAGCTAGAATTGAAAGCAGGGCACAGTATTATGGCACAGTGGGTTAAGCTGCTGCCTGGGATGCTGGCATCCTATATGAGCACTGATTTGAGTACTAGCTGCTTTGCTTCCAATCCAGCTCCAGCTAATGTGCCTGGGAAAGCACTGGAGGACAGCCCAAGTACTTGGGTCCCTGCATCCATGTGGGAGACCTGGAAGAAGCTCCTGGCTCCTGGCTTCAGCTTGGCCCAGCTCTGGCCGTTGCAGCCACTTGGGGAGTGAACCAGTGGATGGAAGACCTCTCTCTCTCTGTCTTTCCCTCTCACTTTACCTTTCAAATAAATAAAATAAAAGATGAAGAGTTTTAAAGATTTATTTTATTTATTTGAAAGGCAGGGGCTGGCACTGTGGCATAGTGGGTAAGGCTGCTGCCTGCAGCATATGGGTGCCAGTTCAAGTCCTGGCTGCTCTTCTTCTGATCTAGCTCTCTGCTATGGCCTGGGAAGGCAGTGGAAGATGGCCCAGGTCTTTGGGCCCCTGCACCCTCGTGGGAGACCTGGAGGAAGCTCCTGGCTCCTGGCTTCAGATTGGAACAGCTCCAGCCATTGTAGCCATCTGGGGAGGGTGCAGGGTCCCAAGGACTTGGGCCATCTTCTAGTGCTTTCTCAGGCCATAGCAGAGAGCTGGATCAGAAGTGGAGCAGCCAGATCTCAAACCAGCGCCCATATGGAATGCTGGCACTGCAGGCGGTGGCTTTACTGGCTGCACCACAGTGCCGGACCCAGACCTCTGTCTGTCTACCTCTGCCTCTCTATCACTCTGCCTTTCAGACAAATAAATATTAAAAAGAAAAAATAATGGCCTATAAAAAAAGGCAGAGTGACAGAGAGAGGGTAGAGACCGAGAGAGAAAACTGTTTCATCTACTGGTTCACACCCCAAATGACTGCAATAGTCAGGGCTGGGCCAAGCTAAAGCTAGGAGCTTGGAACTCCATCTGGGTCTCCCATGTGGGTGCAGGGACCAAGTACTTGGACCATCTTCCACTGCTTTCCCAGTGCATTAGTAGTGAGCTGAATACGAAGCCAGGACTCAAACCAGTCTTGCAGCAACTAAACCGCGCTGTGCCAAGATGCAGGCCCCTTTTGGTTTCCTATTTTATAGATACATATCTAGTAAGAAAACATATGGGGGCCGGCTCTGTGATGTAGCGGGTAAAACTGCTGTCTGCTGTGCCAGCATCCCACATGGGTGCCGGTTCGAGTCCCGGCTGCTCCACTTCCAATCCAGCTCTCTGCTATGGCCTCAGAAAACAGTAGAAGATGGCCTAAGTGCTTGTGCTTGTGCCCCTGCACCTGCGTGGGAGATCTGGAAGAAGTCCCTGGCTCTGGATCGGTGCAGCTCCAACTGTTGCGGCCATCTGGGAAGTGAACCAGCAGATGGAAGTCCTCTCTTTCTCTGCCTCTCCCTCTCTGTAATTCTGGCTTCCAAATACATAGATAAATCTTTTTTAAAAAAGAAAAAAATATGTGAGCTTTGAAACATTAATTTCAACAAATATTTATTAAGGGTCTACTATACTCGGTGCTATTTATGTTTTATAAATAGCATTTTCATCAATAGCTTGGTCTTACCTCTCTCTTATCAGCGGAGACAGTTATTACTCTTGTTTTTTAGACCGCAGAGGCCATCTTGAAAATGGGTGGGGAGAGATACTGAGAAGGCTTTCCACATGAGCTAGATGAGAGAAGAGGAGGGTCTCCACCAAGGCAGCTCGGATGAGTAGGGCCCAAGCCAAGATACAGTTTCCCCTGCAATTGATGGGACTCACTGGAGGGGAGAGAAGGAGGAGACAGGAGTGGCTGTAAAGACTCTGCTTAGGGAGTGGTCAGGGAGCTGCACTCTTAGGACAGGAGGCAGCAGGTGGAGGACCACTGGGATGGGATGGATTAGAGAGTTGGCAGGACAGGGGACTTAGACTTTGGGTCACCAGTAGGACAATCACCTTAGATGTGCTACCAGGTGTGTTGGAATGTTGGTGCTGCGTAAGAATGTGGGTGACAAAGAAGTGAGAAGTGGCTTTGCCTGCAAGAGGAGGTGAAAAGAACCCAGAATTCTGCACATGCTCCTTGTGTGCTGGTGGAAGGCTAGACTTACTTCCTTTATCACTTCTGTTGTAGTTGCTGCTTCTGTTATCTGTCTGCATTGTTACATTGTGGGCTCTTGAGGGTAGGGACTGTCTTCCCCCAGTGTGTGGCTGTTGAATGAGTAAATGAATGAATCCCTTAACCATTGAGGACCTCGTTACCCTTGTGTCTGGCTATGTCTTTAGAATCATTCTTTCCTTCAGACGTGGGCTTCAAAGAATTGGCAACATGTTTTCCCTCAGCTGTACAGAAACCCAAGTAATCTTTTTTTTTTTTTTTTAAAGATTTATTTATTTATTTGAAAGGCAATGTTCCACAGAGAGAAGGAGATACAGAGGAAGAGAGCTTCCATCTGCTGGTTCACTCCCGAGATGGCCAGACCTAGGCCAGGCCAAAGCTAGGAGCCAGGAGCTTCCGCTGGGTCTCCCACACAGGTGCAGGGACCCAAGGACTTGGGCCATCTTCTGCTGCTCTCCCAGGCCATACAGAGAGCTGGATTGGAAATGGAGCAGCTGGGACTTGAACTGGTACCCATAAGGGATGCCAGCACTGCAAGCAGCAGCCTTACCCACTGCGCCACAGCACCGGCCCCCCCACCTTCCCCGCAGTGTTCTTAATGCCTCATCTCCTTGTAACCAGACATTCATTACATCTTGTCCATTCCACCTTGGTAGTTTTTCTCCACTGCTCATGCCTCGTAAAACCATGTCTCTGCTCTTTGCCTACGTTTCCTCAATGCATATAGGCTGGTCTCATTGCCTGTTGACCTCGTTGGTTCTCTACATTGCAGCCAGAATGGGGATCCAAATGCACTTTTCTCTCTAAAACCAGTCAGTGGCTCCCCATTGACCTTAGGGGAGAGAGGCTAGCCTTCTCAGCCCTTGATGATCTGTGGTTTTCTATTTCTCTGCCATCCTCTCTTGCCATTTCCTCCCACTTTCTTTTAATTAATTAATTAATTTATTTATTTTGCTACCTCTGCCTCCTCTCTGTCAGCATTCTAAGTTCCCACCATGCTGTACTCAAATAGTCCGCAGTGTCTCTTGCCTCTGCTTAGAACATCATCCATTCCTCCTCTGTGTATCAGCTTAGTGCTGAAGTGCTTATCTGATATTCTGTGCCCCTCCTTCCCACTACCATGCTGGCTTAGATTCCTGGCCTGCAGTAAGCCAGAAAACATGGTCGTTGTCTCACTTCTCTTTTAAAATTTTTATTTGAAAGTTAGAGGGAGAGAGAGGTCTTCCCTTTGCTCATCCACTCTCCAAATGCCCCAAACAGCCAGGACTGGGCCAGGTTGAAGCCAGGAGCCAGGAGCTCCATCTGGGTCCCCCACATGAGTGTCAGGGACCCAACTGCTTAAGCCATTATCTGCTAGTTCCCGGGTGTGCATTAGCTGGATCAGAAGTCGAGCAGCTTAGCCTCTAATTCAGGCACATCATTATGGGACATGGGCATCCCAAGTGGTGCCACTGCTCCAAACACCTGCCCCTTCACTCTCTTATGATGCTGTCTGTTCCCTCCTACTAACTGTTGGGATTTGTTACAGGAAAGGAGACAGATCAAAATTAGCCAAAGGGGTTGGTTGCATCGGACAGTCGGGGAAGGTTCCATACATGAAGCTTCCGTTGTCCTGGGGATGCAGCATCCTCTTGGCATAAGTGTGTGACCGTCCACACATATTGTCAACCAAGGAGGCTCTCCCAACTTTGATGTCCAGAGTTTTTGTTCATTGATTGGTTACTTGCTTAATTGGTAACAGGCTGCTCTCACATGTCTGATAGCATGGGCTGATAAAACAGATGTGATCCAGAGCCCATCAGGATTAGCAAAGGCACTCCTGTCCTCTTTGGGAATTCCAAAGGGTTAGAAGTTACCTCACAGGAGCCTGGGGCCAAAGGCCAAACTTCTTTCTGGACAAGGTCAAGTCTTTAGTACACATACCCTTCCCAAAACATTCATCCCTCAGTAGTGCTATCTTGTTTGCTCTCCACTGGTTATAAACTGCCGAGGGCAAAAGATGGAGTGGCCAAGAGGCCAGGGCTTTGGAGTCGGGCTGCCTGGGTAAAATCTTGGCTCTGCCATGTATTCTCTTTGTGCCCTAGGGTACAGTTATTAATTATTCTGCCTCTCAGGCTCTTCATCCCTAAAATGGCATGCATAATAATATTTCCTCCCAAGGGTTGTTTTGAGAACTATACATGATAAGCTGGGTTGACATTTGGTGCCCACATGCCACATCTGAGTACCTAGGTTCGATTCCTGGCTGTAGCTCCTGACTCCCAGCATTCCTGCTAATTACAGCCTTGGGGAGGCAGCAGTGCTAGCTCAAATAATTGGGTTCCTGCCACTCACATGGAAGACCTGGATTGAGTTATTGATTGCCTGCTTCAGCCTGGGCCAGCTCAGGCCGTTGCTGGCATTTTGCAAATGGAGTTAGCAGACAGGAGCTCTGTCTGTCTCTGTCTCTCTGCCTCTCAAAAAAAGTAAAAACAGTGATAAATTTATGAGAAATCATTAGAGTAGTGCTTGACACATAAGCGTTCGTTATGAGTGCTGTGTCTGCTATTACATTTCCAGTGTCTTACACAGTTAGGTATATAGGAGGAGAGTGAACGTTTATGAAAGGAATATATAAAATAGACCCTTTCTTTGATTAGTGCCCTTCTGAGGAACAGTCCGTGTGTTGTATTCCTGCACTCTGACAAAGCCAGTGAACTTTACAAGTAGGCACTCTTGTTTCTTGTTATTTAACATTACATAAATGCCAAATCATGTGTGCATTTAAATCCTTCCATTGTAAAGACTTGATTTTTCTTTCCTCCTTCTATGCAGTGGCCAGTTTGGCAAAGGCTGGTACTTTTGCTGGCAATGATGCAATCGTAGCCTTTGCAAGAAATCATCAGTTGAATGTGGTGATTCATCAGCTTAATGCCCCTTTGTGGCAGGTAGGTCGTCTAGTCCAGAATCTGTCTTGTGTTCTTATTTGTACATTAGTTTTGGGGATATCCTAAGATGATCAGGCTTGACCTGTGAAGCTGAGCTCTACAGAATCACTTGGACAGTGAGCCTAACCAAGACAGGAATCTGAAGGTGGTGTGGAATTAATCCCTGTGCTATTTACGAGTAGAGTGTGGCGTATAAAGCAGAAATCTTTTGAAGGGTGAATCCTTTTAGTCAGTTAATTGGGTATCCTGGGGACAGAGAGATCATGCCTTATGTGGTAGAATTATTTAGATAATTCCATAAGATATCTAAGTGAAAATTTAAAATATCAATGCATATGAGAGGTATGTATAATTTTGTATATGTTGTAGATGTGATTAAAATGTGTGTAGAAGTATCATGGTATGTATCTTTCCAGTTATGTCTGAATGCTTTTCTTGGCTAAGTGTGTGTGAATGATGAGGCTGTACTCTATCATGAAGGTTGCAGTGCCCTTTTTGTCTTACGCTGTCTGCCTAGGCATAGCCTGTACACATGAAAAAACAACAGTCAGTTACAGAGATAGTGTTTCCATTTACATTATCTTTTTTTTTTTTTTTAATAAGACCGTGTTTTTTTAAACACATCTGTGTACCCACTGCTGTCAACATATGGAATAAAGCCACAGTGCTAGCAAGGGTTCCATGTCCTTGGCAGTCATCAGACCCTGGCCCCCATCCTCAGCCTCTGGCTACCTCTGTCTCATTTGTCCCTTAGAGTTTTTCCTTTCCAGATATCATATAAGTGAAAGGGTGCAGCCTTTTGTGTGTGGCATAGAGTCCTTCTAACAAAATTACACTACAACAAGGTAAATTGTACAGCCCATGGGTTACTGAGGAGTTTTACCATTCGGGGTATAATGAGCAGAGTGAAACTGTATCTCCATGTGCTCTTTGGTGCAGTGTTGCCAGCTATACTGACACCAGGTAGAGCTATCAGATTTTCACTGGGGCTCTCTTGAACGGATGGTCTTTGAGCCAAGAATACTGGTTACCCCTTGGTTCCAATTTATTGTCATTAAACTTATATACAGCTTAGCAGAAGTTGTCACAGTAGTTAGAATATACAATGTAATGACCCCAGTCCTGAAGGAAAATGTTAAGTGCCCATAGTCTGCCTTTTCCTCTATTGATAACATTGAAACATTTATTAATTACCTAGTTAGTTGTGGAGGATCATTCTGCTGTTAGACCTTTGTTTCTGTTCTCTTTCATGAATTGCAGACAGTAAAAGTAGATATTTTAAAACTTATTTTTTTTTGATGGCTCTCGTATCCCAAGGAAGCTTCTTCTAGAAATGTTATTTAAACTTTCTTTCTTTCTGTCTTTCTGTCTTTCTGTCTGTCTTTCTGTCTTTCTGTCTTTCTTTCTGTCTTTCTCTCTTTCTTTCTTTCTTTCTTTCTCTCTCTCTCTTTCTTTCTCTCTCTCTCTCTTTCTTTCTTTCTTTCTTTCTCTCTCTCTCTCTTTCTTTCTTTCTTTCTTTCTGTCTTTCTTTCTGTCTGTCTGTCTTTCTTTCTTTCTTTCTTTCTTTCTTTCTTTCTTTCTGTCTGTCTGTCTGTCTGTCTGTCTTTCTTTCGCACGAGCTCCAGAGAGAGTGCTTCCGTCTGCTGACTCAGTTCCTCAAGTGCCTCAGTGGCTGGGGCTGGGGCAGGCCGAAGCTAATTGAGCCATCACCTGCTGCCTCCCAGGTGTGCATTAGCAGAAAGCTGGAACTGGGAGCAGAGCTGAGCCTAGAACACAGCACTCTGATAATGGCATGTGGGCATTCTTACCCAGCATCCCGCTGGTGTCTTACCCACGATACCAAGTGCTCACCTCCAGATTTTAGCTTTGATGACTAGTGTCATGGGTAAGAATAGTTGCATTATTTATGAGTAGGCTTATACTGAAAACATGGAAATACTGAAACCTACATTGTTTTCCTGATTAGAAATAGAAGATGTGCTCTGAACAGTTAAGATGTTTGTCATATAGAAAGTGAAAGTCTTCTATAATTTGGTGACTATTCTTCCAGTTATGTTTTTCTATTCACAGTGTGTGTTTATATTGTAAATATTAAGGATGTAAGTGCTTCAGGGATTTTGTCACTCAGAGACTGCCTTCCTGGCACTCTTCCTGAGAGACAGACAGTGCGTCAGTGTGTCACATGGGTCCAAGGAGATGCTGCACTTTGATGCCTGGGTGTCCACTGGAGAAAGCTGCCTCAGTCCTCACATCATCACCTGTGTGCCTTCTGTCTCTTCCATGGGGTCTGCTGTGTATTTAGAGCACAGATACTATTTAAATTAATGGTAGAATTTCACTACGTGTAACTTTCAGTAAAAACCAGAAAGAAGGCGCTGATGCATTAGAGTTTTGACAGAGTCAGTGTTGAGCTAAGGGATGGTGAGAATGACTTCAGAGTGTCTGTGGAGGTGGTGGTGGTCTGGGAGTCACGCAGGCCCCCAGGTCCCCATTCTTGCGTGTGTGCTGCAGCACTATTCACATGGAACACCTTGTGAGGGTGCTTCCAGGCTTGGGCAGTGCGCTAGTCTGATTTGCTGTTTTGTTTTGAAATTGATGCAAGTGGGGCCAGTGCTGTGATGTAGCACGTAAAGCCGCTGCCTACAGTGCTGGCATCCCAGATGGGTGCCAGTTTGTGTCCTGGTTGCTCCGTTTCTGATATAGCTCCCTGCTAATGTGCCTGGGAAAGCAGTGGAAGATGACTCATGTCCCTGGGCCCCTGTACCCTTGTAGGAGACTTGGTTGAAGCTCCTGGCTCCTAGCTTTGGCTCGACCCAACTCTAGTCATTGCAGCCATTTAGGAAGTAAACCAGAGGATGGAAGATCTCTTTCTCTCTGTCTCTCCCTCTGTATAAAATTCCACCTTTCAAATAAATAAATAAATAAATCTTTTAAAAAAATAAATTTTTAAAATAATTTAACGTAAGTGGAAGCCTTGGGGTTTGTCACTGGTAGGGTTTCTCATTATGTAGTTGATGGAAAAGGCAATTTTTAGTAGTAGGTGGATTTACCATGAAGCTCGTGAGTTGTGTCAGGGCCCTCGTCCATGTGGCTTCCTATCAAGGTCATAGGAGAGGGCTAGCAGTTTCACGTGTATAATTTTGTATCCTTTATCTGGAAGAGGGGCCCCAGGTTGTTTCAGCATCAAGCTCAATAATTCTGGACCTGTGCCCAGGTCTTCTCTCTTGGAAGGGATTTATCCATGCATTTGAAGGGCTAAGAGGCAGGAAATGTTTATTTAACTTCATGTAAACTTGTTCCTGGTTTTCGAATATATTTTCATATGAATTTATTTCCATATAGTTCAATATTAAGGAAGCCGATTGAAACCTACAAGGGTGGGAGAAAGGTAATTCAGAAATTGCTTATGACATAACCTAGTCATGTCCCAGTCTGTGACTCTAGGCACACTGGACAGTTGAGGAAGACATCTCCCTCCAGCTGTTGGCACTGTCCAAACCTTCCTGGACTCTCCCCTTGTCTTGTCTGCAGATTCGTGGCACAGATAAAAGCAACGGGAGGGAGTTACACATCGCCTATCGCTATGGAGAACATTACGACAGTGTTCGGAGGATCAATGACAACTCGGAAGCGCCTGCTCATCTCCAGACAGACGTGAGTGAGGCCTTGGCTTCCTTCTTTTCCTCAGCCCTGAGAAGCAGCTGGAGCTCCTGTGCCTGCAGCTAAACGTTGTGAGATTTCTATGAAAAGTCGGTTTTAAGAATTGTGGCTTGATTTTAAAAGTACTTCTTTAGTTTTTAGCTCAGAAGAGAGCAGTAGATAAAATTGCTTGTCATTTTAGCTTCCTCAATAGCTATGATGATGTGTCTATAAAATCTACAACATTTGAGATTACTTTTATGTTTAAATGTAATCCATTGTTCGTATCTGAAGTTTAGACACTGTAAAAGAGGTAAAGAAGAAAATAAAAAGCATGGGTCAGCCACCTAGATGAGATTTTATTGCTATTTTGGTAACAAATGCATTTTTAATGTATTAGGAAATGGTTGAAAGTATATTATCTGTATAGCTTTGTTTCCTGCTTTTACTCAGTTAAAAATTAGACTTTCCTCACATCTGAAGCCATTGTTTTTTTTTTTTTAAGATTTATTTATTAACTTGAAAGTCAGAGATACACAAAGAGGAGAAGGAGAGGCAGAGAGAGAGAGAGAGGTCTTCCATCCGCTGGTTCACTCCCCAGATGGTCGCAATGGCTGGAGCTGCACCAATCCGAAGCCAGGAGCTTCTTTCAGGTCTCCCACGTGGGTGCAGGGGCCCAAGGACTTGGGCCATCTTCTGCTATTCCAGGCCATAGCAGAGAGCTGGATAGGAAGAGGAGCAGCCGGGACTAGAACCAGTGCCCATATGGGATGCCAGCGCTTCAGGCCTAAGCTTTAACCCGCTGTGCCACAGCGCCACCCCACCATTGATTTTTAAACATTTTTTTTTTGAGTAGGTCCTGTTTGTCTATGTCAGAATTTCAAATGTGTGATGAGCTCGGTGGCAGAAGTCACTGTCCACTTTTGTACTGTCATCACACTGTTACCCTCTCCCCATGCAACCAGTGGTATCTGTACACACTAAAATCCAGAGATATTTTCATGTCAAGCAATTATGTGTATATATTCCACCTTTTGCCATTTTTAAAAAAGATTCCTTAAATTAAAGAATATATATTTTTGAGAGGCAGAAAGAGACAGAAAGTAAGTGAGGAGAGAAAGAGAGAGCTCCTGTCTGCTGATTTACTTCCTCAAATGCCTACAGTGGCTGGACCAGGGTGAAGCCAGGAACTGGGAACTTAGTCCAGGTCTCCTGCCTGGGTCACAGGGACCCTGGAGCCATCACTGCTGTTTCCCAGGTTGTGCAGTAGCAGGAAGCTGGAATCGGAAGGAATGCCAGGACTTGAACACAGGATGTGGACCATGGGCATTTTAACCAGTGTCCTTCGTTTTGTTTTTAAAGATTTATTCATTTATTTGAAAGGCACAGTTAACAGGCAGCATTAGAGAGAAGGAGCGAAAGAAGGAGAGATCTTCCATCTGCTGGTTTACTCCAGTGGCCACAACAGAATGGAGGCAGGAACTTCATTTGGGTCTCCCATCTCCCATGTTGGGAACTAGATCAGAAGTGAAAGTTCAACTGAGACTTGAAATAGTGCCCATATTGGATACTGCTGTTGCAAGTGGTGCTTAACCTGCTGGGCCACAATGCTGGCCTCTTAACCACTTCTTAACCATAGGCCAGGCTCTCTGCTGTGGCCCGGGAGTGCAGTGGAGGATGGCCCAAGTCCTTGGACCCCTGTACCCATATGTCAGACCTGGATAAAGCCCCTGGTTCCTGGCTTTGGCCTGGTCCAACCCTAGCCATTGTGGCCATTTGGGGAGTGAATCAACAGATAGAAGCTTGCATGTGCTCTCTCTCTCTCTCTCTCTGCCTTCCAACTAAAATAAATCTTTCAAAACTAACAACACTGTCGGCCGGTGCCACAGCTCAATAGGTTAATCCTCCACCTAGTGGCGCCAGCACACTGGGTTCTAGTCCCGGTCAGGGCGCCGAATTCTGTCCTGGTTGTCCCTCTTCCAGGCCAGCTCTCTGCTGTGGCCCAGGAGTGCAGTGGAGGATGGCCCAAGTACTTGGGCCCTGCACCCCATGGGAGACCAGGATAAGTACCTGGCTCCTGCCTTCGGATCAGCGCGGTGCGCCAGCTGCAGCGCGCCGGCCGCGGCGGCCATTGGAGGGTGAACCAACAGCAAAGGAAGACCTTTCTCTCTGTCTCTCTCTCTCACTGTCCACTCTGCCTGTCAAAAACAAAAAACAAAAAACACCATAGGCCAAATGCCTGCTCCACTTTTGCGGCTTTAACTTTCCCCACCTCCAATGGTAACATCCTACACATACTATACTTCCACACGTGCGTCATGAACTGTGCTTTTAAATTGAGCACATCTGATAATTTAGTTTATAACAGCATGTAAAGTACTTCCTGCATCCTTTTCTTTCTTTCTTTTTTTTTTTAAAGACTTATTTATTTATTAGAAAGTCAGTGTTACAGAAAGGGAGACAGACAGAGATCCTCCATCTGCTGGTTCGTTCCCCAAATGGCTGCAACAGCAGGAGCTGGGCTGGTCCATAGCCAGGAGCCAGGAGCTTCTTCCGGGTCTCCCATGTGGGTGCAGGGTCCCAAGCATTTGGGTCATCCGTTGCTGCTTTTCCAGGCAGATTAGCAGGGAGCTAGATCAGAAGCAGAGCAGCCGGGACTCAAACTGGTGCCCGTAAGGAATGCCAGCATTGCAGGCATCGTTACCCACCATGCCACAATGCTGCCCCCCCCCCCACATGCTTTTAAAAGCCTGCATAGTGTTCTGTTGTATGGATACCTTCTAATGTGTTTAAATAGTTTCTTACTAATACTTTTAGATGGCTTTCAGACTTTTGCTATGACACACAACATGCAGTGCCTCATTTCAAATGTGTGTGAGTGTATCTCCTGGGAGGTCCTTGCACATCAGGTTTTTTTTTTTTTTTCTTTTTTTGGACAGGCAGAGTGGACAGTGAGAGAGAGACAGAGAGAAAGGTCTTCCTTTTCTGTTGGTTCACCCCCCCAGTGGCTGCTGCAGCTGGAGCACTGCAGCCGGTGCACCGCGCTGATCCGAAGCTAGGAGCCAGGTGTTTCTCCTGGTCTCCCATGTGGGTGCAGGGCCCAAGGACTTGGGCCATCCTCCACTGCACTCCCAGGCCACAGCAGATAGCTGGACTGGAAGAGGAGTGACTGGGACAGAATCCGGTGCCCCGACCGGGACTAGAACCCGGTGTGCCGGCGCCACAGGCGGAGGATTAGCCTATTGAGCCACGGCGCTGGCCCACATCAGGATTTTTGACAGGTATTGCCAGAGTACTTTCTGTCATGGTTTACCAATATACACTTCTTGCTTGTGGTATGTGGCTCATTGCCTATACAGTGTGGCTTCAGATTTTAAGGCTTTCTCAGTGTTAGGGAAAAAATGTTGTTTTGGTAATGGCCTTGTGGCACAGCAGATGAAGCTGCTGCTTGTGATGCCAGCATCCCATACAGGTGTCTGTTCGAGTCCCAGTTGCTCCACTTCCGATCCAGCTGTCTGCTCATGCACCTGGGAAAACAACAGAGCATGGTTCAAGGACTTGGGCTCCTGGACCCATGCGGGAGACCCTTGTGAAGCTCCTGGCTCCTAGTTTCAGCCTGGCCCAGCGCTGGCTGTTGTGGCCATTTGAAGAGTGAACCAGCAGATGGAGTTCTCCCCCTCACCCTCTCCTTGTAATTCTGACTTACAAATAAATAAATAGATTTTTTTTTAAAGCTTATTTATATTTCCTTTTTTGTGAACTGTATTCATTTTCTTTGCCCATTTTTTCTCTCTTTTTTTTTTTTTTTTTTTTGACAGGCAGAGTGGACAGTGAGAGAGAGAAGAGACAGAGAGAAAGGTCTTCCTTTGCCGTTGGTTCACCCTCCAATGGCCGCCGCGGCTGGCGCGCTGCGGCCAGGGCACCGCGCTGATCCGAAGGCAGGAGCCAGGTGCTTCTCCTGGTCTCCCATGGGGTGCAGGGCCCAAGTACCTGGGCCATCCTCCACTGCATTCCCTGGCCACAGCAGAGGGCTGGCCTGGAAGAGGGGCCACCGGGACAGAATCCGGCGCCCTGACCGGGACTAGAACCTGGTGTGCCGGTGCCGCAAGGTGGAGGATTAGCCTAGTGAGCCGCGGCGCCGGCCTCTCTATTTTCATAATGATTTTTTTATTGTTTCGGAAACTAGCCTCTGTCTGTGACATGAGTGGAAAATACTTTTTCAATTATTTATCTTTTTGTTCTCTGTCCTTGGGGTCCTTGCTGTGAAAGAATTTTGACAGTTAATGTGGTTATATTTATCAGTATTTTCTTAAATGGTTCTTGGGTTTTAGGTCATAACTATGAAGGTCTTTACAATGAAGTTAGAATTCTCTCATAGTTTATTCTGGTACTTTTACAGGTTTTTTTGGTTTGTTTAATTAAATTTTGGCTCCATTTGCGGTTTATGTGCATGTAAGAGTGTTAGGATGTGATCCAACTTTGTATTTTCCTTGTAATGATCCAGTTGTACCCAAACCATTCATTAATTCTCTTTTTCTCTGCTGATTTAAAATGAGACTTGTTTTGGGGGTGGGTGTTGTGATGCGGAAAGTCACGCCACACTTGAGACACCTGCTGGTTTGAGTCCTGGCTGCTGAGCTCTGGTTGGGCTTCCTCCTCATGCATCCCGGGAGGCAGCAGTGATGTCAAGTGCTTGGGCTCCTGCCACCCGCGAGGAAGGACTGGATGGAGTTCAGCCCAGCCCAGCCCTGCTGTTGCCAGCATTTGGGGAGTGAACCAGTACATAGAAGATCTCTCTCTCTCTCTCTCTCTCTCTGTCTGTCACTGCCTTTCAAATAGATGAAAAAAATTAAAATATGAAAAACATTAAAATAATAAACATTAAAAAATACCACTTACCCTTGTGTACTAAATTGCCATATTATATGTATGTATTTCTAGACATTTGGTTTTATTCCCCTCATCTGCCTGTTCATGTATTGATGCCTCATTGTTTTATAATTTGATTTTTTTTCATGCATTGGTTTTCTTTTAATAATAACCTACATATTCTTGCTTTACAGCTGTTAGAACCCGTATGTCTAGTTGAAAGACATCCCAATGAGTTTTAAGATGGTGATCTCATTTAAGCAAAAGTTGACCTCTTGATGATGCTGAGTATTCCAACCCAGAGCCCGTTTTGCTGGGTTTTTGATTGTTTAATTGACTTTTTTTGTAATGCATAGGAGCATTTTGCCCACTTCACATGGAACTTATTTTAGGTGTTTCGTGTTTTCTTACTGTAAGGAGAGGATTTGTTTCCCTTTATATTTCCTAGCTAGTCACTATTTGCATATGAGAGTTAATTACTTACCCAGATGTCCTATAGAATTCTTTTTTAAAACTTGAGGTCAAATTTAGATGGTATAAAAACAATCATTTTAAAGTATACAGTTCCGTGACCTTCAGTGCACGCAGTGTTGTGCGGCCGCTTCATCCAGTTCCACGCATTTCCCATCACCCACGAGGAAACTCTGTCCCGGTTAAGCCGTCATTCCCTCCTCTCTCTCCTGCCTTCTGTCTCTGTGGCTTTACCTGTTCTGTGTACATCCTGTAAATGGGTTCATGTAACCTGTGACCCTTTCTGTCTGGCTTCTTTTACTTTGCAAAATGTTTTCTCTGTTCATCTCTGTGTCTGTGTCCTTTTTAATTTTGTACTTCTGATTTCTTTATTCTAGCTTACTGCTGTGACTGTTTATATCTAGATGTTGTTTAATGATAGTGGTAATGAAAACCTTATTTTACTTTACCAGGAATAAAGACGTTATTCTATGAATTCACAGAGGTTACTTAACCACACCTGTACTATGAAACCTTTAGTTTCCAGTTATTCACCAGTACGCATTGTTATGAACACTTCTGCATAAATCCTTTGCGTATTTGATGTTATTTCCTTTGGCTAAATTCCAAAGCTGTGAAACTGCTGGGTGTGAACTGGCACCCATATGGGATGCTGGCACTGGAGGCAGCGGCTTTGCCTGCTATGCTACAGCGCTGGCCCCGACAGTGTAGCTTCTGAGTTCTATATATTTCTTCAAGACCAGTGTTGGTCTACAAAGCTCATGGAATTCAAGAGTAGAGGATCATCTGTTATTAGGGCCACAGCTTTGAAAATGAGCTGAGACAGAGGTCAGCAGTCATGCCAAGGTGTTGGTGTCTGTAAGCCACAGGAACGCTAATGCTGTCCTTGCTGAGCACCTCAGCCTGTCTCTTGGGGCTTTCTTTTTAGTTCTGTTGTGGCCTGGATTCCCAATGTGCAGATGAAATCTAGTGTTGTCACTACTATTCTCTTAAGATTGTTTTTAGAATTTTTTTTTAAATTCTGAATATGGTTTCCTAGAGTGCTATGATTATTACTCTGTTTCCTTTAGTTTCAGATGCTTCATCAGGATGAGTCTAATAAAAGAGAAAAGATCAAGACAAAGGTGGTTGACTCTGAAGACGACCTGAGAGATGAAGTGGAAGATGCTGTCCAGAAAGTTTGTAATGCAACTGGATGTTCAGTTAGTATTTCTGTCGTGTGGCTGTGGTTGATGAGCAGGCATTGCTGTGCCCAGCTTCCCTGCTGGTTCTGCAGCCTCATCCAGCACACTGCACTGCAGGCCAGGCCGGAGCAGGGCCCTGAGGGCTGTGCTGTGTGACTGTGGGAGAGCTGTTCATTCTTCTCCTTCTTGTTTGTTAAACTTCACCCAGTACTGCTCCAAATCCTAAGGCAGTGTGCGTTTAGGCTTTGGCAAGTATTTACCCTAGTAAAAAAGACAGTTTTTAGAAAGGAAATTAATTTATTAATATGTATTAAGTGATTATTTCAAGTGACCAAGCCTTTTGAAAACCCACGTTTTCTACACAGAAAAAGTCTTAAAGCCTTGTGTCAGTTCTCACCATTACATGTTTGTGTTTAGCGGATTGTTGAAGTAGGGCTGGGTAGAAAGTACATGAAGAGTCCTGAGGTGTTTCTTTGTTTCCTGAATAGGATTTGAATTTAATAGTTCAGAGCCTGGAAGCTGAAAATTACAATATTGAATCCGCAATACTTGCCATGCTTCGAATGGACCAAGGGAAAAGAAACAATAGTAAGTTCATGACTGACATTCATACTGATTGCGTTGGTGACTTTCCAGATATTTAAAATGTCATAGGGTGTGCATTTATTCATTCATTCAGCAGTTGTTTATTGAGTACTTGCTGTATGCAGGATTTTTTTTTTTTTAAACTAGGTCCTGGTCCTGGGAGAGCATGGTTTAGGGGTTGAGAGGGCATGGTGGAAACAGGTAAAAGGGGGTGGAGGCCCATGGTGTCAGGGAGTGTAAGGGAAGGTACTTGACCCAGGCTTGGGAGTTGGGGAGTGTCAGGGAAAACTCTGCTTTTAGAAATATGACCCCCTTTTAAAGCCAGAATGATAAATGAAGAAATACCTTACTTTCTAGTGGAAATGTTTTGATTAGTACCTGTCAACTGGTAATAATTCAGAATTTCTTTTTACTTGAACTGAGTTTAGTTTTATGACTCCGGAAGGAAACAGTGTAATATCTTATTAGTGTTGTAAGTCATTTATTTAACAGGGTATCAGTAAACGCTGAGTGCCAGCTCCTGTGTTATGCTCTCCCCGGGATCGGTTCTGTTACCACTTTCTGTATGTGCTGTCTGAGAGAGCTCTGGGTTACTTGGTCTTTGTGGCCTTTAACAGCACCATCTGATACGTGTGCTGCTCTGTGTAGGGTACACCGGGCAGGACGGTGTGTGCCTGGGAGCTGTGCTTAAATTGTTTTTAATTTTAATTAATTTCCACGGGAATTGCTGCGTGTGGTTGGTGGCTCCTGCATTGTTTGTGCAGCACAGCTTTTTAGGGCCTGTTTCTTTTCTGCGTTTTGGATGCAAATGAAAGATCCCCAACATCAGTGTTACAGAGTGGTTTGGCTAAGGAGCAGAGCACCCTGGGGGGAGCTGACCGTAGGCTGGTGGGGATTTTTTATCTTCAAACTTTTCCTCTAAATTCTATGAATTACTTTTGTCCTGTGTTTCCCATTGTATTGATTGACATTGGGGTTTTTGTCTCAGGCCACTTGCTTCCCGGAGCCAGTGGCCTGGGGACAGCAGAGGTGCGTTGAAGCCACTGCGTCCCACAGCTGTGTTGTGTGACTCTCTGCTCTCTCTGGAAGGTGCAGAGGAGAGCCTGGAGCCTGGTGGCCGAGCGCGGACGCAGTGCGGCCCTTTATGGGAGGAGGGTGGCAGTGGCGCCAGAGTCTGTGGAAATCAGGGCTTCAGTGAAGGCAGGACTGGAAACACCAAGGCACGGGCCAGCCCTAGTGAAGAAGACAAGGCCAATAAAAACCAGCTCCCGAAGGTATGAAGGTGGGGACAGCAGGGTGCATGGTGGGCTCTTGTCACAGTGGGGGGACTGTGTGCGGGTCTGTTTGGATGCATAAAATTAGTCATTGTGGAAAATCTGAGGGCTGCGTAAAGTCTGTCAAGGAGCAGAATGAAGACCTCATGCTCCTGTTGGGTGTACACACTGAGCACTAGAAGGAGGTGTGCCCTACACTGGCCACGCATCCCACCTCCTCCTCCCGCATGGTTCCTGTGCGGGCGAGCTCTCCCGGCTCAGGCCGTGGTGTTCACAGGGCTGTGGTGGTCACAGGGCTGTGGTTTGCAGGGAAGAGCTTCATATATAAATCTTGTTTTTATTTATTTTCTTGACGTCCCGGAAGAGGAAGGAACAGGTTAGAGGGCGTGGATATGTGAATCCTTTTAAGTATTTTGGTAAATGATCCAGTGATTCTCAGGAAGGTTGTCCATGTCCCTCTCTGTCCCCACTGCCACCAGTGGTGGGTGACGTCATTTCATTGTACTGAATTTAGAGCTCGTTTTAAGACTTACACCAGGAGCTCCTGAGCTCAAAGTGCCACATCAAGTAAGAAGCCACAGCAGAGGCGAAGATGCAGCGTCCTCAGGGATTTGGTGGGCATTCCCTGGGCGTCGAGCTCTGGGGGAGTGGGCGTTGGCACGTCTGCGTGTCACCTCTTGCTCAGTGGGGATTCGTGCTTCTTCCGGTCATTGTGATTTGGTTGGGAGGAGAATGGAGTTTGTTTGCTAGGTCAGCAAGGGGCTGGGGTACGCTCAAATGACATTTGAGCAGTGATGGAAGGTAAACCACTCTCAGCCCCTGAGCGGTTTTCCTCTGTCCCTGCCCAGGAGCGGCATCAGCCAGCCAGGGTCTCCCTCCCGCGGGCGGCAGGAGCAGCCGTGCCTGCGTGCCTGCCGCCTCTCCACAGTGGGTGTCTTCCAGGTCACAAACCGGCAGAGGAGGGAGCAGCAGCGGCAGGAGAAGAAGAAGCGGCAGGAGGAGCGGCACCGGCACAGAGCCCTGGAGAGCAGGAGCCGCCCCGGGGACGGCAGCAGGGGCGACGCGGCCGTGGGCGCGCAGGTCACCTTGGTGAAGACCTTTGCTGCTCTCAACATCTGACTGCGGCCTCCGGGGAGGGGAGCGCTGCGAGCCGCTGGAAGGGATGAGACCGTCGCGTTACCTAACCAGACACAGCTGGCAGGACCCACACGGACGCTCACACGTGGAGTCCGTTTCTTTCAAGTTGCCTCTTTTTTGTTCAAAGCGTAGTTTTGTTAGTGATGTTTGTTTATGAATGTGCTGTGAAGCCACTCGGCCTCTGCAATGCAGACTTAAGGTGGTGCGTGTCGGGGTGGACCGGGAGGTCAGGAAGGGCCTTTCTGTGTGTGGCTTTACTTGCCCGAAAAGTCAAGAGTTCAGTGACCCTGGGACCTTCCCTTGGACTTGGGGTGAGCTTTGCTCTAATTGTTCCTAAAGTAGTTTGCAGTAACTGTGAGAAACTCTGAACCACGGGTTTCCTGTTTCTCTTTTGCAAACAGATGCTAACGCGTAGGGCGGTTTATAAGTGGTCTCCAGCTCAGGAACATGTTTACATTTAGTTTCTTCTAAACGAGGTTACTCGGAAAATAGTTCAGGAAGTGTTTGCCCAAAGTAGTGTGGTGTGAGGGTTGTGGGCTGTCCTCGGGTGGAAATTAAACGAGTACCCTTCGCTGCCTTCTTCTCGCACGTTCCTTCAGGTGGGTGCAGCTGCTGTTGGTTCATTTGCATTGAAGCCACAGGACAAGTGCACCTGACTGTTCGGTAGGCCTGGGCTTTGCTGGGACGTGGACAGTGCTGTTGAGTTGCTGGTACTCAGTGGTGGTCTCTGGGAAGCTGGCGTGTTTCTGCTGTGATAAAATTCTGGAATTCTGAGAGTATGTGGAGCAGATGGCCGTTGCAAAGGGAGAAGTCAGGGACATGTAGAGTTTTGCTTAGGAAGTCTAAAAAGTTCTTTGCTTTTTATAGGAAAAGTCTGAAAGAAAAGAGCTAAAGGCTTTTCAGGTTTCCATCTTAAATAACTGCACTTTCTCCCTCACTCCCCAGACTTCAGAGAAAATGAACTCTGACTTGACCGTCCGCATAGCGTGCTTCATGTTCCTGGTCTTGGGGGAGTGCAATCCTATCACGTGCTGCACTTGTTTCTTTTTATTTAAGCTGTGTTTGGGGTTGCGGTGTTGGGAGAACTCTCTGGTACCGACCAGTAGTTGTCAGTGATTAGGTGAGACCAGTAGGAGAGAGAAGGTACTTCGGCCAGGGCCTCTGAGCGACTCCACAATTGTGAAGCAGATTTGGGTCGGGAAGAAATGTCATTCCTAGAACGGAATTAGGTGGATGTGAATTTTAAAACTGTGACGTAAGAGGTGGCCACCTCGGGTGATCTTTGCCATTTGTGAACCTCATATTTGGGCAAGTCAAATATGCTAATTCAAAAGGTAAATTATTAGTTGTCTCCTTACCCCTTGTAATGAAATTTTAGGTGCAATGAAAATTCGCAGGTGAAGGGAAAGCTATAAACATGTTGGCACGTGGAGGCCTAGCGTTGGGCAGGCCCTGGGTTCTCAGAGTTACCTGTATCAGCAGTTGTTTGCTTTCTTCATTTTTAACGATGTCTTCGTTTTTGTTTGTTCGACTTTGGAGACTTTGTGCTTGGAGAATCAGTCGTCTGTTGGAGATGCTCCCCGGACGTGGTGTGGGCTTCCTGGGTACTTGGCGTGTGGAAAGCTGCACAGCATTTTCCGCTGTACCTGAGTTGGAAACGCAGGACCTGGTCTACACCACACCTGGCCATGTGTTGCCTTTTGTCGTAAGGAAGTGGGTTCAGTGCTTCAGGCTCCGGAGAAGCCCTGGCTTTCCCCTCTGGACAGGTTCCTGGGGGCTGAGCTGCTCCGAGTGAACACACTTTCTTGCGCGCTTTGTACCGCTCGAGTGCCGACCAGAGCCTCTCAGGAGAAGCAAGATGCGTGCCCGAAACCGCGCGGTAGGAGTCAGAAGCAGCCCAGGGCAAACCCTTTGTCAGAAGCAGTGGAACTGCTTTATGTTTAGGTCAGTGAAGGTGGCCTCGGGCCCCATTTGGTTCTAGAAGTTTTAGAAGCTGCTAAAATGCGTCCCTATTGAGAACCTGGCTTTCTAACTTACTTAGTTCTGGTAATAGCCCTCAGTAGTTAGGGTTTGGTAACAGTGGTTTTAAAAACGAATGAAACGGCTTTAGTGATTTCTTTTATTGCCATTTCACAGCTTTCCAGTTGTCAGCGGTCTGTGTTTAGCATTGTAGAGATGGAGCACTGTGTCCTGTGTCAAAGGCGTCCTCTAGCTGAGGGTTTGAATTCAGACATCACTGCTTCGGCTCTGGGAGATGACTCCCGGGAGCCGGCGTGGAGGCCCAGTGCGGTGCGTCCTGCGGTGACGGTGGGCACGGCGGCGACTCGCGGCAGCCCGTTAGGAACTGAGTCTGTCGAGCCCCGGTGGGACACCTTGGCAGGTAGAGATGTGTGCTGTGTTGCGTTGTGTCTGGAGTTCGAAGTGAGGCCGGGGGAAGGGGATGGACCGGTGTCTGGAGCTGCTTGCTGGGCTTACACACTGTACATAAAGGTTTTGGATTTAAAAATGCTTTTACAGGTCAAAGTATGAAATAAAACTTTAGCAGTAACAGCTTTGAATTAGAGAGATAGATGTATTAAAACAACATAGAACCACAACTTCTAAGTAGAGTCGTTACCACCAGGAGACATTAGAAAGATAGAATGTGTTTGTGTATTTAATTTTTATCTTTCAAAAATACGTAGTAGCCCTTCAGGAGCCAGCTCTGGCTGTCTGTAATTTCTTCCTTAAGCTCTGAACACACTTCCAGCCCCATGGTGGCCGGGACGGCGGGGCCGTGGCTCTCCCTGGCGGGGCAGCCTCCCGGAGCAGCCTCACGGGGTGGCGCTGTGGCCGCAGAGCCGCCCGGGTCCTCAGCTGTGCTCCGGTGGAGACCCACACCTGCGGTGAGCTGCTCTCTCTCCAGGAGAAGCTCCAGGCTCTGGCTGAGTGCTGCTGGGGCAGCACACCTGCCAGCAGGTTCCCTCTGAAACGCCCAGCTCCTATACCGTGGTTCACGGAGGATGGCATTCCTGGCACGGGCCCCACTGTGGGCGGCAGAGAATGGCACGTTCTGATTTCAGTGTCCGCGCAGGCGGCCTCTCCAAGTGCCGTTTGGGGCAGGCTCGTAGCTCTGCACCTTTTACCTCAAGGCTCTGCTGTCTGCACCAACACTTTGGACGCTGAGTCGGACCTGTGTTTCTGTTTTGTCATTTTCCTCATTCACGGTTTCAGTCGTGTCCACTTCAGGGCAGGCGTTGCACAAACCCCAGGGCCTTCCGCCGGTTGTTCCCCTGGGAGTTACTTGTGGCCCTGTCTACAAAGTGTGTTTTTTCGACTCTAAGGCAAGTGGTTCTTTTCCACTAACATTACTTCACTGGAGGCGTAGAGAGCGCGTTTAAATGAACGCCTGCCATCACATGCTGGGGACCGTCTGGACTTGTGGGAAAGTAGGGGTCAGAGTGTGTGCTTCGGTCGCCAAGTGCAGGCACCACGGGGCCAGGCCGAAACAGCCTGCCCTGTGCGTGCCTGGCCTCTCCTGTCCCAGTGGAGTTCCCTGTGGAAGCTCGGGCTCTCGGTTCCTTCTGAGCAGCTGCTTTCTAGTCTCCCTGTCCAGCTGCTGTGCTTAGGACTGCTTTGCAGCTGGAGTAAGATGCTGAGGGTCCCCGGGGCTCTTTGCAGAGGGGCTGGTGCCAGTGTAAAGAATGTGTGTCCACAGAAGCGCTCACTTGTGCACAGGGAGTTTATTTTAAGGAGGGCCTACCCATCATGCACAGCTGCTTCTCACCATGCCATTCATCTCAGAAGGTCATGGTCACCGGACAGAACCTCTGTGGCCTGGCTCTGACCCTTTGCCTGTCAGTGTCCGCCAGGTCCCTGTTCCCAGCCCCGTCCATGACAATCACACGAGCTCAGCCTGTGGCTTGATCCCGGCAGACCCCTGTGCTGGAACTGGAGCTGGCGCGAGGGAGCTCGCGTCTCCCTGCTCCCACGGGCCGCTTTCTCGGGAACGGCCCGCGGCTTCCCCTGCTACCTCCTGGCCCCTTCACCAGCACTGTGCTCAGAGAGGAAGCCGAGAGCCCGGAGTCAGACTCCGCTCTGCCCGCTCCCTTCGGGGCACAGGCTGCTGGTGCCCGCTGGCCCCCGTGGGGAGGGAGGGCGGGCGGGCGTCGGGGCAGGGCCCTCTCCGTCTCCTTGCACTGCACTTGTTCTGCTTCGGTCTGGAGCTCCGTGGGGGCGGGGTCCACAGGCTGAGCAAGTCTTGCCTTACCTGTAGAGCACGGCGGTGAGAAATGGGGTCGTCTGTGTCCACACTCAGCTCCCCTCGGGGTTTCTTTGCACAGATCTCGTGTTCATCCGAACCATTTTGTTTTTTATTTACTAAAGTACTGTACTTGGCTATTTGCAGTGTTTTCAAAACCAAACGTTCCTTTTTTGTGTTTTTAATCTTTAATACCTTGGTGCAATAGAAGCTGCAAAGATGTGCCACTTTATGAAATGGAATTTTGTATACCAGTAAATTCTAGTTTAAAAACAAAGTTTCAAGTGATTTTTTAATCAAGACCTGACCACGTTTGGGTGCATGAGAGAGTCTGGCTGGCACACGTCCTCTCAGGAGGCCTGGACGTGGAAGGTGGGTGAGTGCCGGACGGAGTGGTGCTGATGCCGGCGTCCTTTGGGATCTGTGCTGTGGCTGCAGTGCAGGTCGCAGCCACCACGTCCCCCGCAGAGCCAGTCCTGAGGCGCATTCCTGCCTGGCATCTCTGTTCACCTGTCTGTCAGCTGTCCCCCGGGCTTCTCAGGAGCCCGGGGTGTCGGCCCCATTTCAGGCCGGGGCTCACACCCCGACACACAGACTCACTGGTCACAGAAGGACAAAGTGCGGGGGCAGTGGCAGCCATAGAAACCGGAGGGAAAGCCCACCCACACACATGCAGACTCTAGGCTAGTGGGAGGGGCTGGGCTGGCTCGCCGGACCTCCCACGGCCTTACGATCTTGGCCCGGAGACGGTCCTGCTCCCCGTCTAGTCTTGGATTTGACAAGCAGCCTTTTCAGCGGGCGCCCTGGTGCCTTGATAGCAAAGGAGCTGGGGACAGTACGGCTCCTGTGATGGTTAGAAATTCCAGCTCCTGTGGTCACTCAGCCCACCCTCCCGGTGTGATGTTAGCCTCAGTCCACAACTGGGAGACCTGAGAGGGACGCACTGTCCAGTTCCTCTTAGTCCAGCTGAGGTTTTCTGGAGGATTCTCCTCGGACTAAGAGATGTCCCGGTTGAGGTGCTGCACCCCTGTACAACTTTGGTGGCCCCTTAGTTCCGTTCCAGAGTTTCAGCTGGGGCCGGGTGGCCACTTGGGCTTGGGAGAGCTAGGGCAGCACCTGGGACGTGACCTGGGGGATTGTGGGAATCCTCCTAGGACGGGGGGGGTGTTCTGGGGCCAGGTAGGGACAAGTGGCTGTGCCTGTGCCCCTTCTTGAGAACCCAGAGACTTCTGAGTTAGCTGTCACCTGGACACCCCCACCCCCATCCCTGATCCAAGTGTTCAGGTGGAGGGCTTGAGTCACATTGTGGTTCTGGACAGAACGGGTCTGCTCCCATCGTAGTGACGCAGGGATTGAGAGCTTCCTGGGTTGAGAAGGATGGGGACCGGTCCTGGCACTGACATTCTCTCCTTCCTGGAGACACTTAGTGGAACCTCTCTGGTTAGAGAGAGAGACTTGGATATTGCCAGGTGCTTTAGTTCCTAATACACCCACTCGTCCATCCAAACATCTAAGAATCCACCCAGCGTTAGCTGACCCTCTGCTGTGGGTGGGTGATTCCTTCTGGGCGTCGATAGCAGTCGTGGACCAGGAGTGGAAGTGGACAGGTAGCTGTGGCCAAGCGAACGTGCCATGCAGGAGAGGCTGCTCAGAGGCCCGAGTTCTGCGTGGAAAAATCCAGGCAGCGGTGGGAGGAGGTGACCCTGGGAATAGGCGTGGAGCAGGCAACCGGGCATGAAGACAGCAAAGCCCTGGAGTGGAGGGTTGGGGGCAGTTCATTAAGGATGCTCAGGAAATGGAGAAAGACCGGGAACCCCTTCACTTCCTCTGTGTCCTTTGCTACTGGGAGACTTGGGCTGTGCTTCCTGGGTGCATTCTGCAGAGCAGGTGGGCTTGGGCCAACCCGAGTTCCTTTTCAGTGTGTGCACGTTCTGACCTGGGGACACTACCGGTTGCAGCCTTCCGGGACAAACATGGCGTCTCTCCAGCCAGCCTACTACACTTTGCCTGTGGGTGGTGTCAGCTCCTGGGGGCTTTCCAAACACGTGTCACTCAGCGGGGCGGCAGCCAAGAGACCAAGCAAATCAACTGGTCTTCATCATGGAGATGCCACTTCCCCCAGGTCATTGCCATTGTCCTGTGTCCACGTGTGCAGCTGACTAGATAGCCCCTCGGCACCCATGGCCGGAGTGAATGCGGCAGGGCGGGCAAAACCACAGCGGGGGACTCGGCCGGCCTGCAGCATCCATGCTTTGCCGAGGGCAGAGGCTGATGGTTTTATTCCCATTTTACACCAAAGGAATTGATAACCGGCCTGAGGTTGTAGACTGCCACAAGTACAGGCTGTGAGCCCAGGCCAGCTGCCTGTACCATCGGGAACCCAAATAACCACACCGAGTGGCGCCAGGAGAGGAGGGACACGTTGCTTGGCGACGCAGGAGGGTGCGGCCCTCCCCTGCTGGAAGCGCCTCAGGGAGACGGTGGAACTGGAGATGCGCTTCAAGCCCGCGGGAGTCGGCGGGGGACGGAGGGGCCTGCCCGTGGGCGAGCCCTGCTTGCAGGCTGAGGGAAGCTGCCGCGCGCAGGACCGAAGGCGGGATGCACTGGGCACCTCCTGGGCACGGCAAGGATTCCAGCTCCCGGCTAGTGCGCACACTGGGAGGCCACAGGTGATGGCTCACACGGGGAGACCCGGGTGGAGTCCTCAGCCCGGCCATTGCAGGATTTCAGGCGTTTGGGGAGTGAACCAGTGGATGGAAGTCCTCTTTGTCTTCTGTCTGTGTCTCTGGTTCTGTTCCATACTCCCTCAAATAAATACATAAAAAATATGAAAACCAAACAACCGCTGGTCCCACCGGCTTGTGTAGAAGAGCTGGTGTCATCTGCCTGCTGAATCAGACTTGTCCCTGACCCCAGCATCCAGCAAGACCCAGATGGAACTTAAGGGAAGAGGGAACTTGTGTGAAGTGTCCAGTCCTCCGGCGGTGCCACAGCCAGATCCCCGCAGAGGCCAGCAGGGGTCTCAAGTCTGGATTCCACTGTTGACCTCATCGCTTATCCAGAAAGGTCGCTGAATACCTCATGCATGGCTTGTGTTAGGGGCTACGTGGGAACAACAATCTCAATTTTGTCAACAAAATTGGAGAGGCAAGCTTGGGGACATCTGGGTGACAACGCTGCTTTCTCAGCCTTGATGGGGTCCCTCGCCTCATTCTTCCATTCATTCACCCATCTGCCCATTAATTCATCCATGCATTAATTAATATTAATGAGCTTAATAAATTGTTGGCTCTTGCTGTCAGGACATCCGTTCAGGGGCCGTGAATGCTGATTGATAGGTGACGCATTGAGGTGTACTGCCGTACATGCCAACTCGGGAACCTTGCCGCAGGCTGGGCAGTGACATTGACTAAGATGCCCACGTCCCACATGCGGTACCAGGGTTGGATTCCTGGTTGCAGCTCCTGACTTCAACGTCCTGGTCAGTGTAGCCCTCAGGAGACAGTGGTGATGGCTGAAACTGCAGGGTTCCTGCCAGCCACACGGCGACCTGGATCGAATCCCCAGGTCCTGACTTTGGCCCTGGTCACTGGGGACATTTGGGGAATGAACCAGCAGTTGGGAGCACTCTTTCTGTCTCTGCCTCTCAAAAGCAATGGAAATATAAAAATGAAAACAAACGTGCCGGGGAGGTGTCATTGTGCCATTTCACAAATGCAGAGACAGGCTGTGCCCGGTTACGGCTCTGATTAGATTCTCACTTGCACGCCTGGGGGCCCTGTTCCAGCAGCGCTGCGTCCTGCGTTTCTAACAGGGTCGACTGCTGCAGCCCCAGCTGTCCACGGGCCTCCCAGGCAGCCCGGCTCTCAGACAGACCCACTGCTGCTGAAGGGAAGGGCAGTGGCTTACCTGCAGCCCCTGGCTCTGGGGCCAGGCTCCTCCATTCCTTTTCCAGTCTCAGGGCAGCAGCCAAGGGCTTGTGCTAGAGACACAGACACACGAGTGGGATTGAGGGAGACTCCTGCGTGCCTTCTTCAAACTAGGAAAGGGGAGGATGAGAGCTGGGCTGTGGCCCACGGGCTCGCAGGCTGGAGTGCAGTGGAGGATTGGGGTTCCCCAGGCTCTGGCTTCTAGTTCCCAGTCTTTGTCATACGCTATGTGCCCAGACGCCCACCAGGCACCTGCCGTGGTGGTCCCTTTCATCCACCAGATCACGACCTCCCTCCTGGGTCTCCCGCTTCTGTGTGGCACCAGCATCCTCTTCGGTTGTAAGGCCTTCGTCTGGGATCGCTCAGCGATTTTCCTGATTGAGAATGTGGGTCCAGAAATGTCACTACACCAGAAACACGTTTTACCTACTTGATGAAGACAAGTCCTGGGTTACTTCCCTGCAGCCTGAAAAAGAATGGACACCAGAGGGCGCCCCAGGACCGTTTACCGTCTTTCTGCACACACGCACAGGAGCGATGGTTGCTGTGTGATTTGGTCCCGTGGCGATGGGGGTCAGGACAGCAAAGCGCGACACCTGCCCCTCGCCTTTCTCGGCTGGAGCAGAGCCTCCGCACGATGACTCATCCCTCTGATCTCCGTGCTCCTCCAAGCGCTCAGGATGAAAGGGGTGGACGATTCCTGCGTCTGCTGGGGGCGCGGCCCCCGTGACGCTCTGCACGTGTCCCGTCTCGCTGAGGCTCACCCGCTCCCGTGAGAGGGCATCTCCGTATTATCGCCAGTGGAGACACGGCCTACCTTCCGGAGGGGGAGAGCGTGGTGCTGGCAGAGGAGCCGCCTGCCTCCTGGGGTGGGTGGGGGGGCTTCTCCGTGGCTCCGGAGCTGAGGTTGCGGTCAGCCCACGTTGTTGAGCCCTAGCCTCTTCCCTCGTATCAGGAGCCTGACCCCGCTGCGGGTCTACACAGGTGGCCAGCCCTGGGCCCCTCACTCATCCCCACTCGGCGAGGGGCGGGTCTGGTCCATGTGGCCACACCAGAGGGGGCCAACTCCAGGAAGCAACGAAGGGGCTGGGAGTGAGGCTATCCCTCTCCTGCCCCCGTCGGCCGAAGAAGGGGCTTGGAGAAGACAATTTGCATTTATTTATTTAGAGGTATGTGTTAGAGAGAGAGAGAGAGAAAGAGAAAGAGAGAGAGAGAGAAGGAGTGGCACACAGAGAGATCTTCCATCCGCTAGTTCACTCCCCAAATGGCCGCAACAGTCGAGGCTGGGCCAGGCGGAAACCAGGAATCTGGTCTCCCGTGTGGGTGCAGGGGCCCCAGCACTTGGGCCATCTTCCCCTGCTTTCCCGGGCGCTGGATCGGAAGTGGAGCTGCGTCGCAGCCAATGGCTTAAGCGGCTGCGCCCCAACGCCGGCCCCCGAAGAGACGGCTTAGAGCTGCTTTACTCTCTTAGGGCGCAGGGGTGGTTGGGGCCGGCAGGGGGCGCCTGATGACCGTGGGGCTGTCTTTTCAGCCTGGTATTTTTCGTGCCAGGAAGCCACACGTCCAGCTGGAATCCTGTGGCAGCTGCCGTGGTTGTCGTGGGTCAGAGTGTCTACCGCGGGGAATTGGGACTGCAGGCAGGGGGCGCCACGTCGGAGGGCAGGTGCTCGAAAAATGAAGGAGTGAATGCGTGAGTGAATGAATGAAGGACTAAGTGAACCCTAGCATGACAGAAGCGGAGACTCGGGGACTGTGAGGATGACAGGCACGTGCCATCCTCCCTCTGGGAGCAGAGCCCGCTGGGTGTGGACGGGACCCCTGGCTCCTGGGGCTCTTCCTGCGGGGCAGGTGCAATGGTCCAGGCCGCCGGGGGAGCTCTCAGGGAGGGGTGGAATTTTCCAGAGGGAGGGCCTTCGATGCCACGCTCCCCGGGCCGGGGCCAGGGATGGCGCGGCGCGGGGCGGAGGCTGGGTGGGCGGCCTCAGCAGGGCGGGGTGGGGCCCGTGCAGAGCCTGTTGGGGTAATTGGCATATTTGCGGTCGTAGGAGCCCAGGTTGTGGCGGAAGCAGAGTGCAGCTCTCTTGTCACACTCGCAGGTCTCTCGCTGGCAGGTGGTTCTGCCGGCTGCATGGGACAAGGTGGGTCAGGGAGCGCGCGGGCTCAGGACTTGCACTCCCAGACAGGCACGGCTGCTCTGGGGCCCACGCTCGGGGACGGGGGAGAGACAGGCGGGCCCGCCGGGGCTGGGAAGTCGGCCCTCGCGGCCCCTGCTCCTCGTCCAGACCTACCCTGCCTGCCCTTTGGCCTGGGCCCTGGGCTGCCCCAGAGGGACCATCTGCGCACTAACGCACACCTGCCCCTGCCCACACGCTGCCACCAGAGCAGCCCATCAACCCCAGGTGGGCTGTGTGTCCCGAGGCTGGAGGCCGCTGGGACCACAGCTGGGGGCCTCCCTGTCCCCATCAGAGGGGTCAGAGCCTATTTTTTGCCCATACCCAGCCTGGGACTCAGACTTCCTCCCGACCTGCCCTCCCTAGAGGCACCAGGACCCCTCCTCCCTGTGCCTCCGCCTGCCCACGTGGCCGAGGCTCACCACTGCCCCCTGACTCCAGGTCCCTGCTCGGGGCCGGGGGCCTGGTTTCCCGCTTCACAGTCAGCCCCTGTTTCCCCGGGTCAGGCCTCTGCCTGCACCTGCTGTTTCAGGTGCAAGAAGGGGCGTGTCCTGGAGTCAGCCTCTGGGCCGCGGCCGGTAGGTGGGGGATTCCTCCCCAGAAAAGGGAACGGAGGCTTTTGGAGAGCTCATTTATACGATGTCACAGGCGGAGCGGTGAGCCTGTCCCCACCCCTCATTCTCCCAGTGCCACCTAAGCAGGTGGGTGCCCTGGCCTTGCATGAGCACGGGCCACGGGGAGCTCACTCCCTGGCAAAGCTGCCCTGCAGCGTGGACGGCCGTAGGAGCGGCTCAGCCTCCGTGGCTCTGGTCCTGGCTCTGCCCCTCCCGCAGGGATCCACGCTGAGTCTTGGCTTCTGAGTGCCCAGCTCCTTGCCTGCCGCCAATGCCCACCAGGCCCTGCCCTCCTCCCAGGGAGGAGCTTGGGTGTCGGTTCTGGGTTCTTCCACACTCTCTCCGGGCTTAGCTGATGAGCAGGTGGGCGCAGCCTGCCAGCCTCATGGAGGGGAGCTACCTTTGGGGCCGCCTGGGGGCTTTGCCTTCTGCCCAGGCCCAGGGCAGTGTGGGGGGTCCAGTTCCCTGGGGCCTGGCTTCTGTGAGGGTTCCCCTCTGCTGTGCCCCCAGAGGCTGGAGCCTGTGGGAAGGGAGGAAGAGCCTGGGGCCCAGGCAGGCGTGGTGGCTGCAGCCATGGGCCATGGCTCCGCCAGCACCAAGGTGGGCACCCGCGCCTCTTTCCTATCATCCGAGGATGGGAAACCCCAACTGCACCCTTGGGACAGGACGGGGGCCTGGGGGCTCCCAGCTCAAGGTGCCCTCCCCCTGCCCGGTGTCGGGGCTGCTCCAGGCTGGCCACGTACCGCAGAAGACGCCGTGTTTGCTGGCGGAGAAGAAATACTTCTCCAGTTTGGGTTCACAGCCCAGCTTCTCCACGCGCCCATAGCAGCAGTCGTGGGCGTGACAGCACCTGGGAGTCACGGGCAACCCCGGGTTGGGGGGTTGGCGGTCTGTGAGCCAGGCTGGGCTGGCCCAGGGCCCCAAGGAGCTCCAAGGAGGGGGTGAGCCCCCTCCCCTCTGACCCCCCACCCCCAGCACCTCCATCCCCGGGTGGGATTGCCCTGCCAGCCCGTGCTCACCAGTCGGTAGGGTCCACGGGCCAGTGGGAGCCGCCGATGCCGCAGTAGCAGCCGTAGTCGTTGTACTGAAGCGCCGACTTGCCTGTCACCCTCTCAATCATCACCCCGAACTGGACCAGGTTCCCGCCGACCAGGGCCACTGCGGGTGGGGGGCCGGAGTCCTCAGGCCCCACCCAATGTCCCCTCCGTCTGATCCCAGGCATCTCTTTAGAGCTGTGGTCACCTCCCCCAGACACCCCACTCCCCAAACAACAGTGGCGCCAGTGCCTGTCACCTGGCCCGCCCAGCACCCAGCCGCCCGGGGCCCCTCCTCCACTGTCTCCCGGAATGTCACCTGCTCACCCTTTCCATGGGCTCCCCCGGGGCTCTTCAAGTCCCCCACAATCCTCAGCACCCCCCCCCCAGTGTTGGCCTCCCTGGAGGTCTCACAGGTGCCCCTGGACACACCGCCCTGACTCTGGATTTAGCTGCCCACGGCAGCAGGTCGGGGCCACACGTGGGAGCCAGGATTGGGGAAGGAGCCCCTCCCCGTGTGCCATTTGAGGGCCCAGCCTCCGGCTCCCTGCTCCGTCGGCTCAGGCAGAACTGGCCTCAGGGCCACCCCGGGGCGCAGGCAGGGTGGGCTCCCACATGTGGTCCCTGCAGCCCCCACAGGGCCAGGTGTTGGCGCAGCCAGGGCTGCCGGGCATGGCAGGGGACGCACGGGGGAAGTCATGAGGGCCACTTACCCAGGAGGCACAGGCGAGTCAGGACCGGGGGAGGCTTCATCGTGGGGGAGGGGAGGGAAGCAGGGGCCAGGAGTCCGGAGGAAGCAGCGGGCGCCTCTGATCTCAGGGCCACCTCCCAATTAGTTAAATACCCGGGTCCTCCTGTCCACTCCCCATCATTAACCCCTGAGTGCCTGGTGATGCAACCGCCCTTCAGGTCCAACACTCGGGCCCAATCTCAAGGGGTGGAGCTGGCGGGGGCCCCTTGGGCTAGGCTTCTGGGCAGTGTCGGGGTGCGGGGTGATCCTGGCACACTCCCCAGTGGCCCCGTCTTTGCTGTGACCATGACCAAGTGCGGACGGATTTATCGGTGCTGATGCAGCCCTTGTGGCCCAGAGAGGCTTGGGAATGCCACGTGCCAGTCGGCTCTGCTTCCAGGGTCCTGGCTGCTCCCCGACCATGACCAGGGAAAACTTGACCGTCTGCGTCCACCAACGGGCAGCTGCTGGGCCTGGGGCCAGGGGAACCAGGTTCCACCGCGGGTTACGTGGCCGTGGGCAGCTCCTTTCCTGTACGTGGTATCTCAGTTTTGCTGTCTGTGTTCTGCGGATGGAAGTGGAATTCAAGTGCAGCCAACCACCTGCCTCCCGGGGCGGGGTGGGGGGCACTTGCTCTGTGCCAGGCGTGACCCCGAGCCCCGCACAAGCGAGAGCCCCAGGAGCTCCCGAATAGCCCGCGACGCAGGTGCTATGATCATACCCATTTTACAGGAAAGGAAACTGAGGCACGCTTAAGCAGACAGTGAGTCAGGACTTACACAGGAGGCGCGGGAGGCACAGGGCCCAGCACCCCTGAGACTCTCAGGGGCCTCCTGGATGCTCGCATTTCTTAGCAAGTCAGAACGTGTATAGCCCAGCCTGGGTTGTTTGTCTCCATAGCAACCCGGCTGCGAAATCCAGGTTCTGGTACATTGTTATAGGGAGGAAAGAGTCCACGCAGGCACAAGGGCCCCCAGCAGGGGGCAGACAGCAGCACCCGGCTTCCGACTCAGGCTTCCTGAGCTGGTGTGAGGCTGGGGTCAGCCTCCTCCCCGGAGCCCGGAGCCGGAGCCGGCCAGCCGGGCTGGGCTCCCACTGCAGAATCCAGGGCCCAGTTCCCTGGTGCCACCTCGCCCGCCCGGGGACGGTCCACCTTGGACGCGGGCGGGACAGCTGGATGCCGGGCCCTGGTTTCTGAGCAAAGCCCAGTAAACAGCGACATTCCACACTGGGTTCCTCTGGCCCTGCCCATCCGCTTCCTGCCAGGAGCGCCTCCAGGGCCCTGCCCTGCTGGGCTCTTCTCTCCCTGTTTGTGGGCAGGGGCCCAGACAGGGGCGTGCACCTGCCCCGGTCCCCCAGCAGCCGTGAGTCACTGTCTCCCCAGCAGGGGCGCTCCTTGGCTCACTGTTTCCTTTTGATTTTTAACGAGGGCACCTTCTTGGCAGCCCCCGGCTCCTGGCCTGGGTCACGGGAGTCCAAACGCTGAGTCACCAAGAGCTGCCTCCTAAACACCAGAAAACCAGCTTTGATTCCCGGAAGGTTTGCTGCACCAGGGGTGGTGTCCAGAAAGAACCGGCTTTTCCCACATAATCCCTCCCGTGACCCAGGGCCAGGACACCCCTGCAGGTCTGTGACAGCGGCAGGAAACCGAGAGCTGCACGGCCAGAGTCGGGTAGGGAAAGCCCGGCCGGCTTCCAGGTGGAGGCGCTCCCAGCTGGGGTTTGAAGCTGAGTGTGGCGGGACGTGGATTCCAAGGACGGTTGTGGTTTGAGTTCCACCCACACAGCGAGGCAGAAAGCATGAGCGAGAGCTGGGCTGGGGAGCCGGCCCCTGTGTTGGGGGGCGGCGTGCCTGTCCTGTCACCCCTCTGAGGCCAGCTTCCTCGCTCATAGAAAGAGGATCGCACTGACCAAGGACACGAAACGTGGCCACTGCTTCCCGGAGGCCGTGCCCACCACAGGAAGCCGCAAACACGAGCTCCCCCGTCACCGGGTCGCCGAGCCACAGCTGCGGTCCCAGGAGCTCTCGTACCCGTGCAGCTGGCCAGGACTCCCAGCATCGCCCTGGCTGAGGGTCCCCGTCTGACGCGCAGAGGGTGGCGGGTGGTGGGGACAGGTGACGGGGTGGCGGTCGGGGAGGAGGGGCTGGGGGCACCCAGGCACCCGCGCTGTTGTCATTCTCTTGGTGTGAACTTGCCCGTCAGCTGAGAAGTCACCATCGTCGCCGCTGCCGCCATCGTCCTAACCGTGGATGGCAAAGGCAGTGACCGCCATGGCCCCGCTGCTGACTAAGCCCTGGGTCCCTGCAGCTCATGGCTTCTCTTCAAACCTGGCTGGGTGGTGGGAGTTTTTGTTTTTTTAAATACTTGCTGCTATAAACCATTTTTTAAAAAAAATGTGTGTTTATTTTCACATACTGCAAAGGCAGAGAAAGAGAGACAAATCTTCCATCCTCTGGCTCCTCCCCAAATGCCTGCGGCAGCCTGGGCTGGGCCAGGAGCTCCACGTGGGTCTCCCACATGGGCAGTAGGGGTGCGAGCACTTGAACGCCGCCTCCCAGGCTTGTGAGCAGAGCAGGCCAGGGAGGGGAGCAGCCGGGACTTGAACTTCTGCCCCGCCCTGGGATGCAGTGTCCCAGCTTAGGCTGCTGGGCCCTATCGCCTGCCCCCAGGCTCACAGCTTTTGAGATCCGATGGCCTCCTCTCTGAGCAAAGTGGGAAAGTCGTCTTCTTCTTCTTCTTCTTCTTTTTTTTTTTTTTTTTTAGGTTTATTTGTTTATTTGAAAGTCAGAGTTACAGAGGGAGAGGAGAGGCAGAGAGAGAGAGAGAGAGAGAGAGAGAGGTCTTCCATCCGATGGTTCACTCCCCAGTTGGCCACAATGAAGCCAGGAGCCAGAAGCTGCTTCTGGTCTCCCACATGGGTACAGGGGCCCAAGGACTTGGGCCATCTTCCAGTGCTTTCCCAGGCCACAGCAGAGAGCTGGATGGGAAGCAGAGCAGCCGGGACTCGAACTGGCGCCCATATGGGATGCTGGCACTGCAGCTGGCTTCTTTACCGGCTCTGCCACAGCGCCAACCCCCTAAATACCTTCTCCTACCACAAATAAAGAATCCACAGAAAGCCATGGATTTAAAAAAAAAATGACTGAAATTCATCAGAGCTATGTCCAAGTTGATTGATTCTCAGTATAATTTTGATGTGCAGTCGCTGTTTGAGTTATAAAATAAAGACAGATGTCCACTGTCTGTTAGGCTGCACTTATGGCGTGAAATCTGTTGTTCCCGCTTGAATTTCAGCAAATCCTGTTATGTAATCATCAAGTTTTCCTATAACTTGTGTTCCTATAACAACAATGATCTGAAAGATTAAAAATATGTATGTGATGGCATTTGTGGTGTGTGTATTTTTGTATAAAACATAAACTAAGTCTAAAGATAAAAATCAAAATGTCGGGGGCCAGTGCTGTGGCAAAGCGGGTAAAGCTGCCACCTGCGACACCAGCATCTCGTTAGGGAACTGGTTCGAGTCCCGGCTGCTCCACTTCCAATCCCGCTCCCAACTAATACACCTGGGAAGGCAGTGGAAGATGGCCCATGTACATGGGAGACTCGGAGGAAGCTCTTGGCTCCTGGCTTTGGCCTGGCCCAGCCCCAGCTGTTGTGGCCATTTGGGGAATGAGCCGGCAGATAAATGACCTCTCTGTCTCTCCTCTCTATCTCTGTAACTCTACTTTCAAATAAATAAATAAACCTTTTTAAAAAATCAAAATGTCTTTGCTATATGTTTTCAAAAAGATTTCTTTGAAAATATGCTAAATCCTCTGTTAAAAGTAAAGGCATAGCATAAAACATTCCAAATACAATTATTTAGATAAAGTAGACTTTTCAAAGACTGTTTTTTGGAAACTGAATCATATCTGACCAAATATTTGGATAAAAACAGACCAGTTCACAGTTCTGGTCTTCAGGATTGGTTGCCAGTGTAAGAATTGTGACGGGGTGGGCACTTGTCTTATTGAGCCCACTGCCCATGTCCCATATCTGGGTGCTGGGGTTCGACTCCCAGCTCCAGCTCTGGACTCCGGCTTCCTGCTAGTGTGGACCCTGGGAGGCAGCGATATTGGCTCAAGGAAAGGGGCTCCTGCCACCCAGTGCCAGCCCTGGACGGAGTTCCCAGTTCCCAGCTTTGTTCCTCTCAGCTGTCACGGGCCTTTGGGAGCATGGATCCACAGATGGGAGTCCTCTCTCTCTAGTTCTCTCTTTCCGTCTCTCTGCCTCTCAGTAAACGAATAAAAACTTAAAAAGAAATCAAACGGACTGGTGCTGCGGCGCAGTGGTTAAACCACCATCTGTGAAGTCAGCATCCCATATGAGCGCTGGTTCAAGTCTCGGTTGCTCCACTTCCGATCCAGCTCCCTGCTAATGCGTCTGAGAAAGCAGCAGAAGATGGCCCTAGTGCTTGGACCCCTGCACCCCCCTGGGAGACCCAGATGAAGCTCCAGGCTGCCGGCTTGGGCCTGGCCAAGCCCTGGTCATTGAGACCATTTGGGGAGTGCACCCATGGCCAGAAGATCTCTCTGTCTCTCCTTGTCTTGGAAGTGGAGGTAGGACTCAAGCCAGGCCCTCGGATATGGGACGGGAGCGCCCCAAGTGGTGGCTTCAGTCCCTGCACCAAATGCCCGCCTCCACCCTGGCATTTACGGGCACTGTCACGCCTATGAATTAGGAAGGAGAAGACGCAAGCCCGGAACTCCTGGGAGATAGTGCTTGGCTGGGCAAGAACCTAGTGTGTTCACACCAGGAGGAAGCCTCTGGCGAGTTACTCCCCAAACCCTCCCGCTGCTCACACCCTCCCCGCGAAGCAGCCTCTGGTGCCAGGGAGGGAGGGGGGCAGCACAGTCCTCCAGCCTCCAAGACACTTCCACGCAGGCGTCTTCTGTTCTGGGGAGGCGGATACAGGAGGAAGCGGCTCCCCGGGGCCCTGACTGGTGTTCCTTACTGGAGCGGGGGTTTAGGACAGGGAGCGCCCTGCCCTGGGACCGAGTGCTGAGCAGGGCACAAAGGCAGGGGCCGGCCTTGCAAATACGCTGTGTGCGTGTGCGGGGCAGGCGTGGGCAGGACCTCCCCTGGCCTACATCTCAGGGCTGCTCCCT